CTTCGGCCGCGTATTCCGGCCGTTTGGCCGGGATTTCGGCTTCGATTTGGCCATAGGAGGAATCAGTGGGGAAAAACGAGTCGGGGGTATGAAATTTACCTCGATCGGCGGTCGGAAATTTCCCCGGTGCGGCGGCGAGTGGCGGCGGGTGGCGGCGGTCGGCCTCTGGTTCGTCTTCTCCGGCGAGCGGCTGGCGGCTAGGGTTTTTGGTCTGGTGTGGGGGTTCTATTTATAACCCCTTGCCTTTTGATCACAGCCGTTCGTTTCGTTTTAATCTGGGCCGTTCGTTTTTGATTGAATCTGGGCCGTCCGTGCGTTTGAATCTGGGCCGTCCGATCGCGTGATTGATCTGAGCCGTCGGATCGCACCCACGCGGATCGCCAACGTGGCTCCTTTCGGAGTGACGCGATCTTGCCACGTGGCAGGCCCCGGTTGGCCGGGACTGCTGACCGGGCCTGCTGACGTGGCGCCCCCCCCCCCTTTTTTTTTTTTTTTTTTTTTTTTTTTCCTCCTCCTTTCCGGGCGCTACAACTCTCCCCCCCATAAAGAAATTTGGTCCCCAAATTTGCCTCATTACTCTTGATCAAACAGATGAGGATATTGGGCCCTAAATTCTGATTCCAGCTCCCAAGTCGCCTCCCTAGGCGTGTGGTTCTGCCACAAGACTTTTACAAATGATATTTCCCGGTTACGGAGTATTCTGCTTTCTCGGTCCGTGATACTGACCGGTACTTCTTCATAAGACAAGTCCTCTCGGAGTGAAAGCGGTTCATGAGCCACGACATGAGAAGGGTCCGGATTGTACTTGCGCAGCATAGATACATGAAACACATTGTGAACCCGGGAGAGCTCAGGGGGCAGTGCAAGTCTGTAGGCAGTGGTACCAATCTTGTCTAAGATTTCAAAGGGTCCAATGTATCTGGGGTTTAATTTTCCCCTTCTGCCGAACCTACTAATTCCCTTGAAGGGGGTGACTTTAAGAAACACCCGGTCACCTTTCTCAAAGGCCAGGTCTCTCCTCCGGGTATCAGCATAGCTCTTTTGCCTACTCTGAGCTGTCTGGATGTTCTTCTTGATCTTAACTATCTTGGACGTGGTTTCTTCCACTAAATCCGGGCCAAACAATCTTCTATCGCCCACTTCCTCCCAACAAATCGGTGACCTGCACGGACGCCCGTATAGCGCCTCGTATGGGGCCATACCGATGCTTGCTTGGTAACTGTTGTTGTAGGCAAACTCTATCAGGGGTAGATGGTCGTCCCAATGGCCTCCGGAGTCAAGGACACAAGCTCGGAGCATATCCTCCAGCGTACGGATTGTCCTCTCTGATTGTCCATCGGTTTGGGGGTGGAAGGCAGTACTGAGGGACAGCTTTGTTCCCATAGCTTGCTGGAAACTATTCCAAAACCGAGAAGTGAATCTGGGATCCCTGTCGGATACCACTGTTACTGGGACCCCATGCAGTCTGACTATTTCCCGGACATACATTCTTGCCAACTTGTCCAACGAATCAGTCATTTTGATGGCCAGGAAGTGGGAAGACTTAGTGAGTCGGTCAACAATTACCCATATAGCATCATGTCCCGATCGTGCCTTGGGTAGTCCCGATACGAAGTCCATGGTGATATGTTCCCACTTCCACTCCGGAATCGGTAAAGGCTGAAGTAACCCGCCCGGGCGTTGATGTTCTGCTTTGACCTGCTGACATACCAAACATTTAGATACAAAGTCGGCTATATCTCTCTTCATCCCATTCCACCAGAACCGAGGTCGCATAGTTTGGTACATTTTCGTACTTCCTGGATGCATGGCGAACCTTGAACTATGGGATTCTGTCATGATGTCTCTTCTTAACTCACTGTCGTCTGGGACACACACTCTGTCCCTGAAACGAATCAATCCGTCGGCAGAGATCTGAAATTCTGAGTTCACTCCCTGTTCTGCATCCTTCTTGCGGGTTACTAGGGCGGGGTCGATTGACTGGGCTTCCTTTATTCTTTGGATTAACTCGGGTTGGACTGCTAGATGGCTCAAACATGTGGCCCTCTTCAGATCTCGCAGTCGAACCTGCTGCGTGGCCCCAATGGACCTGCATTCTGAAACCATCAGATGGGCCAGGGTGCCTGCACTTTTCCTGCTGAGGGCATCGGCTACTACGTTGCCCTTACCTGGATGGTATAGGATGTCACAATCATAGTCCTTGAGGAGTTCCATCCACCTTCTCTGACGTATGTTGAGATCCTTCTGAGTGAAGATGTGCTTCAAACTCTTATGATCGGTGTAGATCTGAAAGGTCTCTCCATACAAATAATGGCGCCAGATTTTCAGGGCGTGTATGATTGCGGCAAGCTCCAAGTCATGGGTAGGATAGTTCTTCTCATGATTCTTTAGCTGTTTAGACCCATATGCTATAACCTTTCCATGCTGCATCAGGACACAACCCAGACCCAGATAGGAGGCATCACTATAAACTGTATACCCTCCTGATCCACTCGGTAGAGCCAGCACGGGTGCAGTAGTCAGTCGCTTCTTCAATTCTGAAAAACTCCTTTCGCAG